CCCCAACCTCCTCCGTTCTTTTGAAGTCTTATGAAGAACATTAAACTTGCAGATGCAATTATTGTATAATAAAGTATTGATTTCCTAAGGAACCCTTTAACATCTTCTTTCATAATTAGCATTTACAAGGCATCAGGAATTAACCATGTGCAGCCTTACAAATGAATTACAAGGCCCTTTTACTTCCGAAATAAATATCAGCGCCCTGTTGCTGAACACACGTTGTCCAACCTCATTGAACGCTGCAGCAGGAGATGTCCAGGTAAGACGAGTGCAAAAGCAGCATTGCCTTTGAGTGCTGCGCTTGATAATTGCCTTTATTTACCCGTTCCTTTCAGCTGGTTGGCATTGTCCTCCCACGTGTGTCATAATTTCTTCCGTGGTGATTTCAGTTTTCTGCAGCAGTGGCTCTTTGTGAGGATAGCTCCGGTCAGCTTGAGGCACGAGCGCAAGTAAGGCATTTGTTGCTCAATTAGATGGCTTTGGCTTTGGCAGGATAAGCCTCTGAGGGGCTCTGCTGCCTGGTTTTAGTCTCTCCCAGGAGGAAAGTACCTGGCAGTGCTGGTGTCATCGGGAGCCTTCCCGCTCCGAGGGGACCGTCCTAGGGGGACCACATGAGGCGTAAGTCGGTTGGAGATGGATTTCATTCATTGCAGGTAAATAAGCAACCAGGCACAAGTCCTTAGTGTGTCAGACATTGGTGTGGACGTGCAAAACAGGGACCTAAAGTCTGCTCCTGCATCTGTGAAAATTGCGCGCTGAGGAGACTCCTGCATCCATGCGTGCTGCTGCCTTGCTTGGCAGTGTGCCTCAGATGGGAGTAAAAGGAAGAGTTTCAGTCTTCTCATTGCAGCTAGTGAGGGGAGAGCCCATAAATTCCCCCAGATGACCCCCCTGGGCCGAGGGGTCCATGTGCACGTGCTGCAGGCTCTCCCCCTGGGACGCCTTCCGCTCCTAGTTGGTCTAAGAGTTTCCACAAGCAGCCAGCGCCTGGACAAAGGGAACGTAGTCGAGTTTGATCCTCTCTTCTCTTCCAGCACTTCAACCCCATGATAACTCTTATCTGAGGAGCCTCTGGTCGTGCTGTTTCTGGTGACCTGATGAGTCTTGCTGATGTTTCTGGTTTGGCTGGATGAGAATTCCCCTGCTCGGAGTGAGTGTGCATGTAGTAAGGGTTGTAGGTGGCATAAAGCTCTCCCTTTTTCTGTATGGTCACTTATATAGCACAGCGTGAAAGAGAACACCTTAGCTCATTTAGCAAAGGGTTTCGTGTTTATCCCAGGCATCCTGTACTGCAAAGTAGCACCCTGGGACCAGAAGAGAAGGGGCTTGAGAGGAGAATGTGCTCTGAATATTCTCAATCCCCCATAAGGAAAAAGAAAGAAGCAGAGAAGAAAAATATTTGTCCCTGTGTCGCTAGTAGGGAGTAGGAAATTGCGCCATGTGAAATCATTATAAAAAGAGAGTGTTTGGTGCCTCAGTGCCCCCGGACTACCCTGGAGAGCAGGTGGTGTGTGGAGGGCCCCTAATTTCAGGGGTCTTTCTACTGCTTTCTACAGCCATGAGCAGGAGGAAGGAGGGACCCTGCATTTAGTAGTAATGTGGTGGGGTTGCCTTTTGTGATAAAGGGAGGAGGATGTTGAATAATATCTAATATCAGGAGAGATAAATACAATGGGATTAAATGAATTAACTGGCCGGAGCTTGCTGTGGGAAAGGGAAGTAGTATTATTGCCGTTGGACAGATGGGAAACACATCCACCCAGCAGCATAGTAACATTACCAGGGAAGTCCGTGGAAAGCCTGGGAAGGGATATTCTGCTTTTCTGTCTTTTTAATGACAACCCCACACGCCTCACACACACATAGATGTATTTGTTTTGGTTTGGGGCCTTTGATTTGATCCTCCAGTCCTGAAATGGGAAATCTCACACGCACTGTGAGGCTAAACTGGAGTAATAAAAGGAACTGCGTGATTATTGTTGTCTTGGGTGTGGGACGGCATCACTGGCGCTCAAATCTGCTCCCTTCCTCTGGCTCATCTCTCTCCATGTGTTGATCCCACGTATAATCAGTTTTATTTCTCCCCATGCTGACTGAGGAGGGAAAAGAAAGAAAATAGGCAGTCCAAGAAAAAGAAACAGACATTAAACTTCAACTGACAACACACAAAATACAAAAATTTAAATTGCCAATATTGATTTCCTGCAAGCATCGGGCCGATAGCTGCTGTAAACCTGCAGCCTTGCTGACGTTGTAGTCAGTAGCCAGCTTGTACCGTCGTGCCAGGTCTCCAGCTCTGGACCCTGCTCTATAGTGTTTGGCTCTGCTCTAGTCAGAGTTTTGTTTTCAGGCTGAGTTTTCCCAAGGTGCTTTCAGTAGTTTCAGTGGAATTTGGGGGAACATCCTTCTGTGGAGGAGGTTTCTGAATTTTAGGAGCATGATGAGTGGGTCACTGCAGATGAGGGAAAAGCTTTGTACCCTCCTTCACATCTGCTGAGCAGCCCGGAGAATGAAAGAGCGCCCGCGCCTTTTAAATGAATATTAACATTTTTGGTTTAGCTTCAATAGCTGTGGAGGGGAAACGTGTTTGATGCTCCGCTTGGCTCCTTCTCCGCCTGGACTGGTCCTGTGCCATCCAACCCGTGAGTCAGCTCGGGTTTCCCAATCCAAGATGTGCTTCCGTATCCAAGATGTGTGCGTCAGCTGGCACTGCACAAGCGGGGAGATGCTTCCTCCTCCTCCTCCTCCTCCTCCTGATATAAATCTGTGATGGAAAATATGTGACCAGGTGCAAATGCTTGCTCGCTTACCAAGGCTTCCTCCAGCCCATCTCTCCTGAGGGTTTCCCAGGAGGATGCAGGTCAGTCGTGAGCCCGGGATCAGTTTGGATCCTTGCAGCAGCTCCGTTCCTGCCCATGCTGGTCCCAAGGGCGGTGAACTCAAGGAATGTCTACAAAGGTACCAGCCTGTGTTAACAATGACCGGCTGTGGTCGTTGCTCCATTGGCACGCGAGGCTTTTAAAACTGAAAGGTTGGGTTTCTGCACTCGGACAGATGCCTTTCTGTTGGCTCAGGGACCTCGGGGTGCAAATTCCCCAATTTTGAGGTTTGTTGCCATTTTAGATAGAAGCGACAGGGAGGTTGCAAGTCAGGCCTTCCGACCCGAGTCTGAGGGTTCAATCACCCAGCCGTGCAAGCCAAGGGAATCCCCCCAGTGCCTGCTCCTGCCCTGGGCTGCGCCGGCAGGGCTGGCTCGGCTGCAGGGCAGGCTTTGGGCAGGCTTTGGGCAGGCTTTGGCACGGCGCTCCGCGGCAGCTGCTGCACTTTGCTTCGCGAGCAGCAGGGAACAGCAAAGACCTCGGGGAGAGCTGGCAGCTCCGCGCGGGAGGCCGCGGCTTTCCCGGCGGGAGAATCCCCCTGTTTGCGCGAGAGCTGCTGCTCCTGCCTACTGCCAGGTATCGCTGTCGGGATTAACCCCACATTCCTGCTAGTGCTTTTTGATAAAGCGCAGCGTAACCGTGGACAGGTTGCTCCTCCTCCTGGATGCAAGTGAAGCTAAGGGCGGTGCGTTCAAGTTAGTGCATTAAAAGCTAGCTGTAGGGTGGGCACTCACCCACCCGCGCGTTTGTCTGGTTTGGGGCATGGAAAGAGGGATTACTTAGATATTCTGTTCAGGATTTTTCCCTTCTGAAAGGGCCCTTTGTCTCAGAGAACCAGAAAGGATGAGACAAATTGGTTGCCTTCATGGCCCGATGAGCGGAAAGAAAGCGGTGCTCGTGTTACCTGGAGACATGCAAAAGGTAAGTGCAATTAGTCAGCAGGTAATTAAGCTGTGCATAATCAGAGTAGTGGAGACAAATCACCTTAGTCCGCAGATGTAGCAGGGCAGGAGAAGCCTTTCTTTTTCAGAAATGGCATGAAAGGAGAAACTGCTCGATCAGCAGTACATGGTCCTCGTCAAAGAGAAGCTGAACCTGGGCCTCCTCTTGCAGCCGGCCTCCCGGGAGCGGTGCCGTGGGTTGTAACACATCCCAGCTTGGTTCTTCGTAAGGCAAGTTGCATTGAAGAGGGTGACTGCAAAGTTCATCTACTGAGACTCTTCTTGCTTGGTTTGAAGGGCTTGAAGACCCTGAACACACGGGGCCCAAGGAGGACCTCTTGGTTCCTATGGCTTTCTTCACAGTTCAGGACTGTTCCAATGCATGGTGTGAGAGCAGATCCTGGAGACCTTCTCCTCGAGATCCCTCTGCTGCCAATGGTCACCATGCCAGCCATTGGCAATGCAGGAGCTCAGCGTTTCCTCGGGCTGAAGAAACCTAGAGCTGTTTGCATGAGGAGGTGCTGCAGCTGCCTTGGGCTGCTGGCTCCGTAGCATGGCACACTTCACTTAACCTTCGGGAACATTTATAATTAATGCTTAATCGATTTCTATAATGCACGATTAACACGCTGGCATGGACTTCTTCCTGTACATCTTTGCTCATGAGAACAGTCCTTAGTCACCTTGCTTGGTCTTCTCCGTGAGGTATAACCTCTGGGCAAGGTTCTTGATGAACCTGTTGCTCTTAAAATTACCCAAATGTCTCATTGCACAGATCAGATATTGGCCTCAGGTCTCTTAGCATCTCTTTTCCAGTAAGGTTGGTTTCTATTTATCATAATACTAGGAGTCTGCATCTTTTCCAAGACTATCCTAAAGTCCCTTGCTTGTCTCTGTCTCTCCAGGGAAATCCATATCCAATGTGTCCTGCCAAGCGGTGTCTCTTTCCCATTCCCAGAACATACCTGTGAGACTGTGACAAAAGGTATTTTGACCCAAGCGATCAGTGTGTCTTACCAAACAATGAAATATCCTTCCAAACTCTCTTTCTTTTTTTTTCCCCCAAGTCACAATTCCAGTTTCTGCATGCCATCTGCAGCTGCCAAGTGCTTGGACACAACTGACAAAACATGATGGATGCTGCTGCTTTGAGCTAGCACGAGGGAAGAGCTGAGGGGAAGGATGATGCTGCCTTGGTATTTCAAATACTAGTTAAATGTGAATTTGAGTGCAAAAGTGCAGTTTATTCATGTCACATACCTTTTTTTTTTTTGCATGTATCATATGTGGCACAACAGTGAAGGGCAGTCTTATTTTTGCTTCTTAAAACTAACAGTAAATTTTGTACTGAAAGCTCTTCTATCCTATTCCCACTGTTGTATTTGTGTGAATATGCAGGAACACATGGGATCCTCAGCAAGTACTGGGAACACGTTGTGTGAGGTGCCTGGCGTATACAAAGTGAAAATAAAAGCCTTCCCCAAAGAAACCTGCAGTCCAAATATATCAGTCACGAAAATTGGCACATCTATAAAGAAATTCCAAATAAATCTACATTATAAAGAAAGAAAGAGCTACTGCAGCCAATTAACTACAGGATCTACACGATAAATCTTTTATCTCAAATTAGCAATGTGTGTATTGAGTGGATCAAGATGAGCGTGCTACTCTTATAGAAAACTTGTACATGTGAAACCTGTCATCTCGTATTAGAAGACAAATGATACTTTGAGACATTACATAAATAATGGAATCACATGGCCACCTGATCTTGGTTATTTTTAAGTGAAGGGTAAGACATTTTGAACATCCTTTTATTCTGTTTTGGACAGCTATAATTCTCCTGAATTGACAGCATGAGTTGGGAGAGAATATCTCAGCCGAAGATGAATGGTTTTAAAGGTTTGGGGTGAAATCTTAGCCGCTTGGAAGCCAATGGGAATTGTGTCCCCGGCTGGAACGAGGCCGAGATTTCGGCTCCGGCGCCTGGGAAGCGGTGCCTGTTTGCCCAAGGAGATGTCCAGCCACTGCCTCGAGAAGGAAAATTCCGCGTCTGCTCCCAGCTATTCACTTGTAAATTCTGCTAAGCAGAGCACCACGGTGGCTCCTCCGCTCTCCCTTTGAACATGGGCTTGGCCTTCAAGAGGATGACAGGGCGTTTTGAGTCAATCTGAAGGAATTCTCTAGCAGCTCCTAGAGTTTATGTGGAAGTTGAGACCTTTTGGTGGACCCAGGTTCATCACTAAAGTCTGCTGACTTGGACCTGGTGACACCACGTGTGGTTTCGGTCCTCTATCTTTCTGGCATAAGATGGAGCAATAATTAGGAACTGTGTTTTGGGAGACAGCGGAAAACTGGGAATTAAACTGTAAAGGGCACGTGCCTACAGCTGCCCGGCGTGCTGTCGTGCCAGGGCTGGATGGATCCGTGTTTCCCAGGAAGGTTGGGAAGGTAGCTCATCCCAACACTGCTCGTGGTTGTTCCTGGGGTTATYTGCATAAAATTGCATAAAAGCCAAAGCTGGAATTTTAGTGCAAGTGAGAAAAGCCCTAAGATGCTGGGCTGTAATTAAAACGAGATTTATGGTGAATAAAGAGGTCAGATAGGATCAGAACGAATGGAAGAGCACGCCTATCTAGTTTGATCCTCCCTGCGGTTTAAGATAGGCGGATTCAGTCTGACTGCACAGCARTATCAAAGACTTCCCTTGCTGGGCTGCAGATTTTCCCCTCCTTTTCCAGCTATTTGGCACATCGGATTCCAAGCTGCTTGGGCAAGCCTTGGCTGGCATGGATTGTGTCCTGCCCTCCCTCTGCCTTTGGTCTGCCAGTCCTTCCTGGACCAGGAGCATATTTTATAGCAAAGGTGCAGCCTTTCCAACCCCATGGCTACATCTATAGGTRTATTGCAAGTAATCTTTTGTACTTACATGTGTCTTAGATCCAAGGACCTTATGGACCAAGGACCAAGGCGTTTGGATCCTGGTTTTCCTGGCCCTTGTCTCGCACTCAACGTGATAGGAAAACCAAGGGTTGGAGACAGGATCTACGTCTCTGCACTTTTTTAATCCTTGTGGTGTTTGTTGTCGGTATTTGTGCTCTRTATGGGATGTGAATTATAGACAGGGGAGTGAATATGTTCTTTTTGAAGGCACCAAGATCTAAGCAGTGACGTTCTGGAACGTCTGAAGATCTCCTGTACTGAAAAACTTGCTTCCATCTTGAACACAGGGGCTGTGCTCTGATGTTAGCAGCATCACAGCTAAAATCTGGAATAAGACTAACTGATTTCCAGCTGATTTGTGCCTAAACAACAGGGATAAAATGCTGCTTCCTTCCAACTGATGTCCTTAACGCTGTCTCTTCCCACTAATACACTTCTTACTGCCCAGRCTTTCTCCTTTGCTGTTTATGCCATCTGAAACAGCTTTCCTCTATTTCTCCATGTCCTCCCTTTCCCAATGGAAATCTCCTTTGAAAACATTTTCTTTCCTCACAGCTCTTAATTTTTTTCCTCCTGCTGCTTTCATCTATTATTTAATTGTAGCTGTATTATTTTGGGTAGAGTTACAAAATTAATATAGGGGATGCATTAAAAGGAATCCAAACCTCTTTTCCATGTAAAAATCCTTCCTAATCCTGAGAGCACTTGCATGCAGTGCGTTAAGGATGGTGAGAAGTCCTGACCTGCAAACTTAAGGAGACCTGAGCTTAAGGTCCGTGTGGTGCTGGATAAAGAATTTAGAGAGCCTAAAACACCACAGAAAGCTCCAGCAACAGGAAAATAGGGGGAAGAAATTTGGAATGAGCAAGAAATCAATATTCAGTCTTTGGAGGAGCAATGAAATATCTTTCAGAGCAAGGTTTAAGAAAGAGGAGAGGCTGCTGCGTTTCGGCCCTTCCCAAAGCCTTCCCTAACCAGCAGCTACTCCAAATCAATCTGTTATTTTCCAGAACTTACAGGCTCCTGCCCTCATAGTTCCTGTGGACCACAGGCCGAAAGCCCATTGATCCCTATATTGTTCTCTGTTAACTACACTGTAATGAAAATATATAGGTTGCCAAGTTGATTTTTTCCAAGCTTTTCCTCCAGAATAATGAGTTTCTTCTCCATTTGCTTAATATTAGGTCTCTGTTTATATGTGGCTCTTAAATGCAATGCTATAACTTCATTTTTTTTTCTTTTGYTCTCAAGTCAATACTATTGATGCTTTCTCTTTACATTTTTTTCCCCTACCTTAGTAGAGATGTCAGCTGGCAGAACTCCTGCATTGTGGCTCATTTCTCTCTCCACCATTTTTCATAATTTCATTGTAAAGAATTTGTTGACTTCTCATATATATATATATAAAATATATTTTTATGTGTTTATTTATATCTCCCGTAGTAATTCCTATAGGCGAATTAATTATAGGCGGCATGTTGGTTCTTAATGAAAAAAAATAGTATCTAGTGCTGATGAGCGAATTCTAATAGAAGCTATTTATATTTTTTTCCCCAAATTCTTGAAGTGGAATTTCCCTGGCAGAAAAAGAAAATAAATCCCTTTCCCCACCTTTACTCTCCCGTGTTTTGAGAATTTCCAGCTTGTTTATTGAGAGGAACTCGTGGGGCCTGAAGAGGGAAGAAATGGAGCGCCGCTCTGAACCAAGCTGTTGCAGTTCCTCCACCGTTGGACGGTTTGTTTATTTTTTGCTATGTGAGGGCTGGTTTCCAACATTTTATCCCTAATTTAGCACAAAAAGGGCGCAGTGGGGCTGGCTTACCCCAGGCTTTTGTGTGTGTGTTTGCTATGCTGGCATTGGTTTCCTTCGTGGTCTGATGGAGCACTCAAGAAACCAACGCAACTTGTCCAAAATACACGCGTGATAACTACCCTGCACAGGCACGTTTTGCTCTTATTCCCACGTATGTTTTGGCAGGGTGGAGAACTTATTTGGCCTTCTATATATTTGGGCAACGAGGGGGAAWTCTGCCTTTTCTCCCTTTTATTCTGTGTTTTTATTTAACCATCACAGCGTTCTTTTAACCTACATAACGAAACCCTAGGCACTATCACAAATGGCAGAGATTATAATCAGTGCCTAATATCCTTGCTACAATAACCTTTACCACCTCAAACACGAGGCATAAATAATACAAAGGGCCCTCTCATATTTTGAGGAGCTGATAGGAATATTATAATCATTGTTCCACAGTTAATGACACACAAACTCCGTCACACTCAAGGACCTCCATCCTGGGCTTGATTCGAAGCCAGCTGGAGTGTTTCCATTGCGCCAATGTGTTTTAGATTATACTCCAGAAGAGGTAGGTGACATTTTTGTGTTCACTTTGCACTTTTGCAGGCTCTTGAGCTGAGCAGGAAGCCCTTGAAGGGCTGCAGAGCCGCTCGAGCGGTGACGAGGTGACATGGAAAGTCTGCGTGCGGCTCCACGTCTCTGCCTAGGGAGATCCCTGCGAGGATGCTCGGATCTTCCTTGGGAGAAGGAGCCTCTCAGCACCAGCCAGATGGTCCAAATGTGGCAGCAGCCTGAACGTCAGCGTGGGTCCCAAGCCTCGGAACACCCAAAGGAGCTGCTGGGGGCAGGTAAAGGGGCTGCACTTGTTCTGCTCAGGCTCACTCTTTGCCAAATGATCGTTTTCTTCTATGTATTGAGCGTGTGAATGGAAGCAGCTCATCAAGCCTTGCCCTCCGCCTTCAAGCTGTTCAGCCCGGTGCAAAATCTGAAGCAGGGCAATGGAAAGTCAATAAACTTCATGCAGTCCAGGCGGGTGAATCCAACCGCTTTCCCTGTTTCAGGAATTTTGCACGGCAATGCTAAAATGCAGGGAAACGGTTCAGCCTCTGGAGCAGCAGTGTCACAGCAGTCAGGTGTGCTGAGATGCCTAATTTTTTTTGAAAAATAGGCTTTTTTTTAAAATCAGGCTTTTTTATATTTGGCTTTTTTTTTTTTTTTTGAAATTAGGCAAAATCTTCACAGAGATTTTAGTGCTACAAAGGGATGCTCAGAGCTTTTCCAGTTATACAGGCATGAAATTTTTGTACTGCTTCAGAAAGCCTTACTTTTGGGGTTGTTTTAAGCTCTGTTGCAGTTCTGGTAGTACTGTGAGGGTGGTCTCTAATCAAAGAAGGGTCTCCTTAGCTGGCCCTTCGGCTGCATTCCTCCAGAGGAGAACATTTCCTAGCATGTTTAAGCTGCAAATACATTTTACATCAGCAGATGTAAAAATTGCAGAAATTGCAGCTTTTGTATAGTTAAAAAATAACAATTCTGAACAGCCGAAATTTTTGAGTCTGACCTCAGGATTCATAATATTGGTGAATGTCATACCTGGAGGGGCTGCTTCATATATATCTATATGTATATATATATWTTTTTGTTATCTCCAGGTCGTATTTTCAGATTTTTCTTCCTAACTATAGGAGCTAGAAAGGGGCTTCCAGTTGAGAAGAAAGCGGCCGTTTTGGCGTGATCCCGCGAATCCAGGCTCCTGTGCCTTGAGAAGGATGTCGGCCCTCTCGAGACCTGCAAAACCCAACAGGAATCCTGCGAAAATAGTCACACACRAATCCGCATTAAAGCGAGGATGACTTTGAAGTGGAGTCGCACGCGCTGCTCGAGTGAGTAAGGCCAAAGCAGGGGTTTTAAGATTCACTCACAAATTGTTATCTGAGAAAAGAGTCACTTCACCAAACTATTTCATATTTAATCATTGGGAAGTCGGTTCCCCAAACAAAGCCCATTTGTTTCCCGGTGTAATAAATACCCAGTGCAAAATACAGGGATTTAACTTAATGGGAACCGCACAGTTTAAAATTACCTTCAAGGAGAGTCCTACACGTTGTCAGCGCTTGGAAACTCTGCTCCCGCTCTCGTTTTGACCTATTAGGACCAATATCGGATAGTTTGTCACCAATTTTTCCCTCATTATAAAACTGCGCCTATAAAACAAACATGGCTTGAGAGGGAGATGGCCCTGTTGGGCACAGCGGAGCATCCAGAATGGTGCCTCCCAGAATTCCAAATCGGAATAGCGCCTCCCAAAATCGAGCCCTCGATTATCTTGATGACGGCCTCGCTCGGCACCAGGAGTTGCTCTGGTTTCAATGGCTTTGCTCCCCGCTGAGCCCGATACTGCAGCAGGCAACAGGAACAGGTCAACGTGGGGAAACGGAGGGATTTATTTCGCTTGTTTTTTGTTTTACTTCGTGCAGTTGTTTTCCTCTTGAGGCCTGGAATGGAAAAAAAATGGAAATTTGGAGAAGGATGGAAGAGAAACGTGTCCATAAAGTGGTTTTGTTCTTTTGGAACAGCGAGATAACTTYAGAATACTATATAAGGTGGTATTATTACTGCCACGCTTAAGACTTTCTGCCTGCTCTAACTAAAACATTTCAGATTAAGTTACTTTGTCAAAATTTACAGCATTTGTCAATTACAATTCCTATCTGTTATAAGCCAAACTTTATTTTTAGTCCTTAATATTGTGTTATTAATATATACATTAATAATTAATATATACATATTATAATTAATATATACATAAGGATAGCAAGTTAATCTATTTCCAGCTTTTTCTCGTGRAACAAGAATTCCTTTTGTATCTGAGTTATTCTCTATATTCCGTACTCTAAATTGTATCTAAAAACTTGATTATTTGTTTGTGTCAAAGCCAGTGATGATTTTTTTCAGTATTGCCATTTTAGTCTCTCTCTTATTTTGATATACACCCATGGAAAAAGCCCTCAAACTTAATCTGTAGCCCATCTTTGTCACTGTGTCCGAGGTCCTTATTGTTTTTCGGAAGTGAGGAATGAGCTGCAGCCAGCAGGATGCGTGTTACACCAGTGCACACAATGGCAGCCTCCCCCTTAGACAAGTAAGTCGCGTCGAGTTTGATGGGTACTTCACTACTATACATAGGTCTGTTTTCCCCAAATCTTTGGGAATCTTACCATGGAGAAATACATAAATAAATAAGGAAAGGAGGAAAAAGAAAGCAAGTGAAGATGATGCACGGCGCAGGGAAACTCCCCATCTGCGGCGTTCCTGGAATGCTGCTGCCTCCAGCTCGTAGGTGGTTTGCTTGTTTTGTCCCTAAATTCACCTAAAAGGCCCTCGGTTGGCGTGTTTTTGTCCCCTGCCTCAACCTGGTGTGACACAGCTCTGGGTTTGGCTGCTCACTGCATGCGTAGAGGCTCAGGAGATGTTTCAGGGCAGCATTTTCCAAAGTCTCCCGGTGACTTTGGAGTCTGCATCTTYGGGAATGACAAAGCCTGCAAGGAAATGAGCTATTTGCTCTGGTGCCTTTCTCAATCAGATTAAATAATTCCAGCGTTTTYCCCCATGCTCGTTGCTGAGGACGGAGCTTAACATATCCAAACGTGATGGAGTTCAAGCAACAGGGATTGCTGTAGTGTTGAAAGGGAAGAGGGAATGGCCTGGAGAGGTGCCCTTCTCCTTTAAATGCATTCTCAGATATTAAAGGAAGAAGCACAAATGYAGACCCACGCCTTTGTTTATACTAGAAATAGGGTGCCCTGAGCAGCATCTTTATCCCTATGGGCTCTGGCATCCCAAGTCATCACTTGGGAAGTCATCACTTCCCATGARGTCATCACAGGAAGTTCATCAGTGGATCCAAATCCTAGGATGCAGCGGTACCACTGGCTGGATTCGGGGTGACRCAGATCCTGGGCTCAGTCACACAGCAGGGAGCTGCTGCAACTGGCACGTTGAGCGGGCGGCAGCAACGGGCCAGGGCAGCAGAGTCAACGGGAGGAGGCTGGAGCAGAGGAGCAGGCAGCTCTCCAGCTTCGTGGTGCTCTCCAGCGTCCTCGGCGGGAATGGAAACGGGAAYGTCGCTGTAGCCACGGCACAGTGAAGTTCCTCGGTCGAGGTGACGTCCTGACCAGCTCCTCTGCGTTCAGATATACCGGCTTATCTCCAGACCAGCACCAGGCAGAGGTGCCTGGAGAGGGTTGTGCCTCCCTGACAGTTCCTCTGCATTATTTTTTTTTTTTTGATTTCCCAGTGTATTTGTTGGTCTAAAAGCCGTTGCTTCCGTGTCGGGATGCTCTGGCAGGCAAATCCCGTGGCAGAGACCCCCGCGCCTGCCTCCTGCCCCGCGTGGCCCCACCGGCTTTGTTTGCTGGTTTGTGGTCAGCCTTCTTTGCCCAAGAAATGCGTGTATACACGGGCTTTATCTTTGTAAAAACAAACAYGGGGCCGTGTCTTGCAGTCTGCCGGGGAACTGGATGTGGTCCAGAATGTGGCAGCTTGTTGTTAAACACGGTCTCTCTGCCACAAGCTCGCGGCCAGAGCTCCTGTGCCGGCTCATCCCTGGCTTCAGGGCAGAGTTTATTTCATTTTGGGGTTTTTCTCTATCCTAATCGTAGCTGTAAATGGAACGGGACTTGTCCCTGGTTTGAAAGCTGCTGCCTCGTGTGTCCTGGGGGCTGCGGGGACGAGCGCCGCAGCTCCGGCGCGGGCTGGGATAGCCCCGCATCCCCCGGGCGCGGAGCAAGCCGGGACGTTGGAGCTGCCGAGAGGGAAGGGAGCGGGACTTGCTCTCGGCGAGGAGGGGAACGGGGCCTGGGGTGTCTGTTTTAGTTGGTGGGTTCTTGTTTTGGACCTGGCTGCTTGGCCAAGCGCTGCTGCACCGGGGCCGTGCGCGCTGGGAGCGCCGGCGTTGGGTGGAAATCCCAGGGCTCCGGCTGCTCCCGAGGGTTTTCACCGGTGCAAAACACAGCTTGCTGCCGGAACGCAAACCTGCATCCCGAGGATGCGTCAGGCCTTGCTCCAAACGGGRTTTTTCCGCTTGCACTGAGGACGAAGGGGCCACAGATGAACTAGTCAAGATTAAAAAGCAACAGGGCCATGTGGAGAAGCAAAACCTGGGAAGGGAAGATTCCCGTTTGCAGACGAGCAGGTCTYGTTCCTAGAGATCCATCTGCCTCAGCCTGCATCTGGAGTCAGCACAGTTCTGCTTCCCTGTAGCTAAAAGTCCCATTGCAGATAGTCCCAGAGAGGTTGTGCCTGCCTCCTTCGGCCAACTGTAGCACCCGTTAGTGCGTTCATCCCCGGGAGGATTTGGTCAGGTCCACATTGGAAGCAGAAGAAGTGACTTTTAAAAGCATCTCGGCTTCCATTAAACAGCAGGGACTTGCAGACCTACCGAGGGTGCAGAACACGGTCCATAAAACCCGGGTGGGTTTTAATAAGCAAACCCAGCTTTAGCCACGAGCCCCTCAGCTGCGTTTCGTTTGAGCCCAGCTTTTGCAGCTGCACCACGGGGACCCTTCCCGTGCACCCAGCCGGTGCCACGTAAGGTGCTGAGCACCCCCGAGCCATCCCGGGGCCCTGCTCATTAAGCCATTAAGGCCATTAACGTTATAAGCTCAGCATGGGCAAGGGGCTCTACTGTGAAAATGG